CATTAGCCATGATGAAGTGAACTTTTATGTAGCCCAGGTCCTATCATGAACGCACCAAATATTATCATCGCCATCATTATCAACAAATGTAGCACCAACACCTAATCTTCACTAGGGCCTACCTGCCTCCCACCAACATTATCAGCTGTTAAGGTACATGAGAATTACTTGCGAATCATCAGAATCATAAGGGTGCAGTGTCCCAATTCAAGGAAAATTCTCCGCCAGGCCGAGGCGCACAAAAAGTACCCCCAGAGATTGTTTCGAAAAGAGGGGTCTGTTTGGGCCAAGAAATGGTGGGATTGTGTCAGTATGGCCCAGGATCATCTCTGTAGATTCAGAAGCACCCATCTGGGGGCAAAGCAGACAAAATGGGGCTCCAAACTTGGGTTGATTTTACGCTATTTTCAATGGAGCTTGAATTGGTTTAGTGCACCCATAAGGAATTTTCACCCTTGACCTAAAAGTTTGTGTATCATCAGAGGGCGCCCTAACAGTTCACTGGTGAAATATCCTATTCATCAAAATTAATTAATAAGCTTTTAAAGCTACATACAACGATCAATGAAAATGTGACGCAAACCTTAAAAGAAGAATCAACAATTAAAAATAGCGACAAAAACTAAAATTTTGCCGCTACACCACCCCCGTCTATACTTTCGGCCCTCTCCTTCCACACCGTGGCTACTTCTGTCTAGTATCTGCCCAGCTCTCCTCGTACACATCGACTCCACTCGTCAGTGGCCATCCCACTCCTCCTACCCCCTCCGGTCACTTTCGGCCTGCCCTTTCTTCTGTACGGTGACCCACTATCTGACTATGGCGCAATCTGGATCTGCCTTACTCTCCTAAGCGGTAGCCCCTCCATCTACTGTCGGCTCAGTCCCAATTGGCATTTGTGCATAAGGTCACGAGAAGTTAACAGGGCCTCTTTCCGAATGTGTGAAATACGGAACTTCGTGACTCAGACTCAAGGTACCATGCACTTATGTGCACGTGACGGCTCATTTCCAATTCATAGCTTCGTCGCTAGTCGTCGTAGTCCTAGTGCTCAAAAGTTAATGCAAATTTGTTCTAATGATTCAGATTTCTCCCCTCATACACAGGAACTGAAGAGGCGTTTGATTGCAAGGGGACACAACTGTCATCAGGTTCAGTTACGCTCTATCAATAGGGCCTGCTCAGTCCCCAGAAGCCTTGCACTCTGGGAGAAGACCCCCCGTGAAGAAACAACTCCCAGGGTTCTCTTGGTCACCACTTTCCATCCTGGTCTTCCTCCCCTCCGCAAACTTATCAACTACAATCATCATATCCTCCACACTTCAGACCGCCTTGCCAGTGCTATCTCAGACACCCCGCTTGGTGGCCTACAGGCGCGTCCCCGCAACCTGCGGGACCTTATCGTTCGGGCAGACTGCCCCCATCATGCCCATTGGATACCCTTCCCCTCTCGGTATGGCACCTTCAGTGTAAATCTAACAGATGTGTTGTTTGCCAGAACCATGCCCTGGAATCAGATACATTCTCTGGCCACTCCTCCGGTACTACCCACAGAACCAAAGGCACTATCACTTAGCTTTTCTTATATCTCATCTCTTGCAGGGTGTGCAGTGCTCAGTATGGTCGGTGAGAACACTCTCAAGACGCGTTTCTATGGCCACAGTTCTACGATCAACACCAAACGACTAGATATACCCCTCTGGGCCACCACTTCAACCTTCTTTGTCTGACATGATCTTACAGAGCATAGAATCACCGTAAAGATGCTGTTCGCTTCAACAGGGAGAAGCTTTGGATCAAACGCCTCCACACCATACAACCCCGTGGCCTGAACATCCAAGAGGGAAACTACCAATTAACACTCTTTTGTTTTTCTTCTTTTGTCTGCCGATTATAACCCCCCCATGGGGTTCAGTTCGTTCCATTGTATTTTTGTTCTTTGATCTTTTCGCAACTTACATTCCTTTGTTGCTCAACCATCCTTTCATGAAGTCCCCTTTACCCCTCGCCCCTTTATTAAGCCTGCAGCATTCTTGACCTTTTCTTTTGTCCTGCTGCATTCGTTCGTGCTGGGTTGATTCCCTGTATGTTGTCCTGTCTGTTTGTCATTTTGCCTTTGAGAAATATTTGTTCAGAATCGAAACGTCAGGCCCTCCTTTTTTTGCAAATGAAGAGGAACAGAAAGTTAGTTTCAGATTTTCTTTGGTACGTACTTTGATGCATATCCTTTTTTTCTCGGGTGTACCCCCCCCCTTCCCCTGTATAGTAGGGTCTACCATTTCTCATTGTTTATTCTGGCCCCAACCGCCTGTAGCCAGTACTTTCATAACTTATTAAAAGTCAATCGGCAGACCAATAGCATACAGACAAGACCTGTGAAAGCTATGTGCCTTGTTTAGTACTTCAATTCATCCGCTTATTATAACAAGTGTCTGCTTGTCTGTTTGGATCATCTCTGTATTTGTACAGCAATATTTTCCATTGGTGCTGTGGGGGTTTGGTTAACTTTTGATGAACTTGATGTGGGTTAAGTTAGCTTTTCGTATTTTATTCTGAAAGTCCTCTATGGATTTTTATTTTTTTCATTTTGAAGATTTTTTATTTGTAATTTTTCCTTTACATAGATTTACCTTATTGTGAAATCTCTGAAGTCATAAATTATTTGTTTTCGAACCATCTGTTTAGATTTTTCTTTAAGTAGCTAGGTAGTCTAAATAAGTTATTTTGGGGGAAGTCTATGTCTGGTTTCCCCGATTCATTTTTTTATTGTCCCAGTTTTTCTTTGAAAACAAATCGCGACCTAATCATTAGAACCAGGATTTTCCTCCATTGAATCACTTTTCAAACAATGTCCAATGCAAAGGAACGGAAGTATGCAGTCAATTTCTTGCTGAGGCAAAACATGACTTCAATTTTATTTAAGCTATAAAACTTCAAACTTACAAAATTTAAAAAACAATCAATGAAAAAGGAGCGGACATGATGGCAATTAACCCATTGACCTGTTATTCGATTTCCACGAGAGAATATATGGCCCCGACTCGCACGTAGAAGATGGCCCTCCGAATTTCAACGTCATTTTCTCTTAGTTACAGAATGTTTGACTTTTCCCTTCAGAAAACTTTCTAAAGTCATCATAGCTATTACTTCCTACCTATATGAGCTTTTGGAGTACAAAATAGACTTCAAAAATTTCTTGCGTCCTGGTGCACAGGGTAAAAACATCGCTTCTGTGTGATCTTAAAAAAGCAAACTGTTACCGATTATTTTTTTCTAGTTCACGACTATGAAAAATTTAGATGTGTTTTACTCAGCTCCTAATAAATATTCACTCTGTTTGCTATATATGTTTGCTGTTTTGCTTTCCAAATTTGGCACTAACTTGCCACAAAAAGTAGTCATTTTTCGAATAAATTCACGCTTCTTTCAGCAGACTGGTCTTCCTGGAAGTCTTACATATTTCCCTTGTCGTGTAACTGCATTTAATTGGTTGCTTTTAGCAGTCGGCATTAATTTATGGTCATACCGTACAAGCTTGAGTCTTCTCAGAAGGAGAAGATCGTGGCTCACCCGGCCAGGCAACTTCAGTGCATTAGGAACAATTACCATCTTCAATTCCACCAGTCCTTTTGATATCTCGCACTCAAAGCCACCCCTTTTCCCCTGCTTTTTGCAAATTACCGGTATTATTATTGTAGCAGCTTATCACACGTGTGCGGCCTGTACCCCCTACGATGACCCCACGACCCCCGCCAGCCTGTGTGCAAGATTATTTTACAAAACTATTTTTGGAACTCTGTGGCGGGAGACTGGCGTACCCTGTTACAAGGGTGGGTCCAGGGGCCAACAAGGGCCAAGAAAAAGGAGCCAAAACTGGTTTTGAAAAAAATGACAGAAAACCATTTCATTTCCTTACTTCAAAAAGGATGTTAAAAAAGTGCAGCCTCACCCCTCAGAAAGAACAGAAAAGGTTACATCAAAAAGCCAAATTTGCGCACCCCGTAAAAATCTAAAAATGATTCCCCATACAGAACTTGAAGGAGCTTTACTTTGGGAAAACTTTCTTCATCAGTTACTAAAGAAGTATCGGCATTTCGCTTTTTCCCACCATTTATTCAAGGAAAGAGTCATAATTGCGTAGCCAATTGGTTTGACTTCAAGCAACAAGTTATATGGATAGCATCGATTTTTACTGTTTTTGCCATTCAGTCTGTCGACGTTTAGAATTCATTCCCTCAAAAATTCATTATTCATATGTATTCCAGAGAAAGTGAACAAGGTACAAATTGCATTCTTTTTTACGATTGATCACATTTCCTATAGTTTCCTCTGCACTGTACAATCCTTGCTGTCGAACGCCATTGCTACCTCAACATGCATGCTTCCACGAATCTGCGTTGTCACGTGCGCGATTGTCTTGCAATTGCTATGCTAATCATGCACACTCCTGGGCCGGAAACAGAAACAAAATCCTTTCTCTGGTTTTGGAGGTGCGATTCCTGTTGTGTGGAAGAGAAGCTTAAAACTACAAACTAGCAAGAAACACCACTGTACAACGCGGTAGTCTTGCTGAAAGATGAATGGTAAGTAGGCTATCCAATGGATGGTTACAGGACCATTCGTGGTTCTATTCGAACGTGATACTGTTACTGTTATGCCATGCGGCTACGTACATGTACTTCTCTAATAAAGCACACATGTAGTCTTGTACACATATTTTTGAAGTTCTCGCCGTTGGTCGTTTTGTGCCGTTTCCATTCTCTCATAGCTTTTACAGTATATAAATTCGTTTCTCCACCTCTCTTGGTCGAACCCCCAACTCTCCTTTGTTCACCAACGCACATGGAATGTGCCTTCGAAATCCAGGTTTTCAAGTTCATAACGTTTTTAAATTCACCAGTCCAGGCTGCATCCTGTAGTACAGCGCTACTGTTGGGACTCGCGTATGTGCAGATACACGCAGGTAAGTGCGTTGACACTGTTGTGTACCTGTTTGGGAGACATGGACGTAGATGTATATAAAAAACCTCGACTTGCAACGCCTTTGTATAATTGAAAAAGAGGCCAGCCAGCGGCCATTTTACCGAGCCGAATACAAAAGCGTGGGTTGGCTCCCTTCTATTGACGTCAGGAAGAACAGAGGCGGGCATTGCCAGGAAAGTTTTGTATTCGGCTAGGTAAAATGGCCGCGAGTGGATTCAATGACTCTATAAGCTTATTAAGGGCATTGCGCGTCCAGATTTTATTATACACGTCTGTGTCTGGAGACCGGTGGTGCATACGGAAGCATTTAGGAGCCACTTGTAAATTGGTTTTTTTTTTTAGATACTATCTCGCAGCGGCGAGCGAGTTACTATCTCGCCGAGGCGCAGCGAGTTAAAAGATATTCCACCTCAGCGAATATTTCAATAGTTTCGTAAGTCCCATTCAGGGTGCCGTTTTCAAATTTTGCAGGGGGCCTTTATACACTTCCGTAGGCATGCCTTGCCACGGATCATTTACATGTTAGCCTTTACTCAAGGTGCGCGTGGCTACATGGATACACGACGCACACCCAGCTGTTAGCACGACAAAGACTACCGCTGCAAGTCGTCTTCATCCCAGCAGCTGGGATGTCCGTTGTGTGTCCAGCCACACGTGCCTTAAGTAAAGGCTATTTACATGTATGCCTTGTCCGTGTATCTTCACGACATTCATTAGGGCACCGTTTTTACATTCTTTTGTTCTCATTTCCGACTGACCCTATTTTGGGCTCCCGATCACGGAAAAAAAACTTTTTCCCCCGACCCTGCTAAAGAGGCCTAAACCCAAAAAAACTGCTGGGGAAAAAAATTGGCCAGCATGACCTTTGAAAACAAAATAAAAAAGCCCTGAAAACTTACGATTTCGCAAACGACCAACAGCGACGGTGGGCGTTCGTGTGAACATTCGGTATACTGCACCTTTCCGTGGCCCACTGAGGTTCTTGCATAGCCCTACACTTGTCTTGACTCGTACAAGGGGATTTCAATGTGAGCAGCATGGTACCGACCAGCAGAATTAGACTTCCTCAGTCCAGCACGGTATGTTTTGTGGCTTAGAGTAAAGTACATGTATACCCGGTTTGAATGTAAGTATACACACAAAACGTGTTTTTTTTTTTTTTGTACATTTATCTTTGTTTAATACTTCTGTATATCAAAAATGCAGAAAGAGAACAAAAAGACCCCTGAACACGGAAAATTGAGGATAAAAGACAAGTCTACTATTTTAGAAATTTCGTAAACTTGCTGTTTTATCAGTGGAAAAAAAGAGGAAAAGTTGAGAAAACCATCGACTGCAAAAAACCAACATCCTGTTATTAGAATCCCAGTGCATGTACATGTATTTATAACGATACGTATGTGGTAATCCTGAAACCATGAGGCATATGAGGTAGCAAAAGAACAGACAACTTGCCACAAAATGTACGCAGGCAGCAACACCTTTCCAAGGGAATTTTCCGATGAGCATTTGTCAAAATATTTGTTTCTGTTACGAACACGAAAATATACGTAAAGATTAAATTATAAACATCGATGCAACACGATGTAACACGATGGTACGTTTGTCATGTCAGGAAAGATCGTCGATCAGCAGAGCATGCAAGAACAGTGCTGTGATACATGCACATGTACAGTATGTATGCGCTGCTTTCTGCATATCTGGTTCGTAAGTGTGACGTCACTTCAGGGCCGTTTTCCAATACTCGACTTGGGCTCCGTCTGAGGCTTCAACTGTTTTTTTACTTTCTGACTTTGACGTTACAAGCGTAATAGTAAGTCTGAAAGTGCCATGATCAAGTGAGATGCAAAAGAGCTAAACGTTACAGTATTTTAATTTAAGTTGAACTCTTCAGGCCCACAATCGAGGATTGTTTTCCTACACGAAGCCTGAGACGGAGACAAAGTTGAGTATTGGAAAACGGCCCATACATGGAACCGGAAGTTAACGCGCAACTTCAGCGATCGTCCAATGGGAGCCTGCAAATCGTGGCGCGTCCACCTTTGTGACGAAGTCACTAATAGGAATCGGATAGCGCATGCAGTCGAGCGAGGCGCAGTGCGCACATGCTCTAGCAAAGTTCCCGGATGTTCAATCCAGAGTGCGAAAAAGTGCCCATTACGAAATGATGACCGGGGCGACGCCATAGGCCATGTGCACATTGGTACCGCGTGATTATGAAGTTACTTGCCGTTGTTGCCGTTGTACCTATTTCCGGCCCAGTGATGACGCAATTCTTCTGTGGACGATTCTGGAACGTTTTTTGCACGCGTGATGGCCAAAATGGCGAACAATAATCGACATATAAAACCCAAGCTTAGGCTGCATCCGAATCTCTTGTCTAGAGCTAGGTCTAGGTCTTCACTCCATTCGAAATGTGTGGAGACACGTAGATAATAGCCCTAACCGTAGCTCTGGAAGCCCGTTTCGGACACGGCCTTAGAGTTTTAACGTGATTTAAATTACAACAGAAACTGCTAAACAAAAGTTGATCAGTTGCTATACAAAGTCAATTTTTTTGCGATGCAAAGAAAAAAGTGCATAGCGAATTTGCTATACAAAATTTTAATATGAAATCGCTCACTGCATTTCCATCGATTGAGAACAAACCCAATGAACTTTCTTGTGATAAATCAAAAAGGGGCCACCAGCGTCATCTGCTAGACCAGGAAACCGTATACGTTCCGTTGAAAATCAAATGCGCATGCGCGCTTGTAGTATAGGCTGTTCTCCATAAATTTCCCGTCTTTCTTGTTTGAATGGGACATGAACAGGCGAGCGGTTTCAGTTGCGGTTTATTTAATTATAAATAATTTAACTAAACAATTACTAAAAATCTTTCCTTTACACAACTGTGTTGAGTTTTGTTTACTTAGCGGTGGGAGTTGTGACTGTTGGGCTTACTGTTTCTGGCAACATTCACTGACTGAAATTGTATCGGGACACGGAAGTTTCAATCCCATGTACTGTCCACTTACTTGGTGAATTTTTATTCG